CACCCAAATTCTACTGGTTCTGTTTTACTGGAAAGCCCTGACTAATACAACATGATAAATGTCATGGCAGAAGTATGAACACACAAGGTGAACAATCTGTGGGGTTCGGGAAGGTTCCACAAAGGAGATATGGTTGAGCTGAGTCTTGAAGCTATGATACTATGCAGAGAAGGAAATGTGGTAAGGGCAGTAATGTCATGCAGGTTAGAGGAACCAGGATGGTCAGAAGTCCATAGGTTCAGGGAAATACCAATTATTTCTCCAGGTACAGTGGAGAACTCCAGGTACACATAGGAAATGGTCAGAAGCTCTGTCTTCAGAATTGTGCTCTGTCCAAGGTGTGATGGGAGGCACCAGGGAATCTTAAGTAATAGAGAGACATGATCTGAATTACATTTTAAGAAGTTTTTTTTTTTTTTTTTTTTTTTTTTTTTTAAGTAGGCTCCACTTCTAGCACGGAGCCCAATGCAGGGCTTGAACTCACGACCCTGAGATCAAGAACTGAGCTGAGATTGAGTCAGACTGAGCCACCCAAGTGTCCCACGGAAGATTACTTTTGTAAGGCAAAGTATGGGAGACAGATAATACCAGTCTTATATTTCTGCTGTCTCTCTTTACGAGAGGCAGTAAATGTTATAGAAACTCAAGTAAATTCTATTTTTAATTAATATTTATCATTGTAATAAAGAAGATTCAGAGAGCTGAATGAGTTAATACACTCCATTTAGTGTTTCATAAATCAAAATTCCAACTAACAAGCTGAGTCTTCCCTCTCCACAACAACAGAAATCTGGAGATTTTGCAAATGTTCCACCCACCCATAAAAACAGAGGTATACAAAAGGCAAGGCAACAATCTAACAACACATGGTTTACACAACTCAACTGTTCAAAAAGCAAAGTTTTCCAGCTAATAATTCAGCACTTCAGGTCCTTTCTTGATACATGGCTGAGATACGAGGAATCATAATACTAGCCTGACTCTTCTGCGTGCTATCTGTTAAGCATATTCAATGCCTCCTTTTACCACAACCTTATTTCAACAAAGCAATATTCAGAAAACGTCAGGAACACCAGACTGTCAGCAAGTGTCTAACCAGTAGTAGAAGCCCAAATGTGCTCCTCTGTGGCCACCCTCCTCACGCTCCATCCCAGCTAAGAAAATGCATCCTAATTTTTAACACGGAGTTACCACAGCAACAAAGTGAACAGTTAAAAAGCAATGAACTTAATCAATGCAAGTCATTGTTGGAAAGATTATCCCTTGAGACAAATCTCTCACTGCTAAGATTATTGCTATTTATCTGAAGTGTTTTCTGAAAAGGTAAGAATGACTGACTGAAGGCTTCAAATCAATGAGGTAAGTTTTTTTTTTTTTTTCTCTTTCCAGGAGATAAAGCTCCCAGTAGACCTAAGCTACACTTTTAATCATGACATTAATCGATAACAATTACACCCAAGAGAATGCCAATATAGGTTTTCCAGGAAATCACATAGGGTTTAAAGTGCTATACTTGTAGAAGTAGTCAATATTATGTATTGTAAAACAGAATTTAGGTTGATGACTTTCTATTTCCCTAGGGCAAAATTTTGGTACTCTAGACCCAGAAATATTAGCCTAATGTTTCTCAAACAGTAATGTACTTATGAATTACCTGGGGATCTTGTTAAAATGCAGATTCTAAAAAAAAAATAAAAATAAAATAAAATAAAATGCAGATTCTGATTCAGTTGGTCTACGGGGGAGCCTGAGATCTACATCTTTACAAGCTCCCAGGCGATGTCCATGCTGCTGGTCAGCAGACCACCTGAAGTAGCAACGTGTCAGCACACATTACTGTTCCACCAGGAGAAAGAGCACACAGAGGCATGCACACTGGTGGAGAGATGCTGACAACAGAAGGATCTGACTATAAGAGAAATTCTACTTCTAGAATTTCAACCTTAATCTGCCCTCTTATAAAATGACTTGAGAAAAATGGCAATGCTAACTACACCTATCTTGAAGAGTAGCATTTTCCACATGTATTCTCAGGAACCCCAGTTATCCAGGACATGAATAGGTGTTGGCCAGAAAAATAAGACACGAACAGGTGACTCAAGAGTCACATAACTGAGTCAACCAAACATTTGTTAAGCACTTACTATGAGCCAGGTGTTGTTCTAAATAGGTGATATGGAATAGCTCGTTTAATCTCACAGCAACTTTACGAGGTAGAATCGATATAATCATCCCCATTGCACAGAGGTGGAGAAGGAAGCAAGGAATTGAGCTAAGGGTCTCAGGGTTGGTGTGTGGTGGCGCCAGGGTGCACTGCCACCACCCTCTGGAACAGGAGCACCTTTCAGTGTCGATGGGAAGTGTCAACCGCCACAAAGTGCTAGCAAGTCCATGTAGGCTGCCAACGAAGGGGGATGTGCAAGGGAGAGGAGAGAGGAAAATTTAAAAGTTAGGGCAAGATAGCAAATGAGAACAAGCTGGAGAAAGAACAGTTAGGAAATGAAAGTAATGTTTGGAGAAAAAAAAAATAGACGGATGAGAGTGGAATGTGAAAACAGGCAGCACCCACTCAGGCTTAGATGCCTGAAGAAAGACCAGCGAGCGTGCTGGGTAAATAAACACCCAGGAGAGGAAAGCAGATCAAGTGGTGGATCTCCCCAGCCTGCAGGAGGACTCCAATGGTTTACTAGTACCAAATCCATGAAAAAGCACTCAAAGACAACAGAGTCATGATTATTCTTATACTAATTACCTAATTTACAGATTATCTGTGTCCCCTGCTGGGTCTCTTTCTTCTTCCTACAGGATTGTTTGGATATTTTGCTTCTAATTAGCAACTTTGTAAGCCAAAGTAGGGAGAAGAGGAGACTATTAAATGGGGGGAGAGGGGAGTGTTGATTTTTGTTTGCTTGTTTAGTTTGTTGCTCTTATTTTGGGATCTAGCAATAGGGTTGGGAGAGGGAGTAGGATGTGAAAGGAGCAATGAAAGTACATTCTTATTAATCCTAGATTTCAAGCAACCTTCTCTGCCTGGACTCCATGTTGCTAGACCCAGTCTGAATTATGTATTCTGAGCTAGAAAACAGCCAGCACATCAGGCAGAGTATACCTCAGGTCAGGCAGAACTATAAACAAAGTAGTTGTTTGGTTAGATGAGCACTGGGACACAGTTCAGATGGTGCAGACAAGCATTAAAACAAAAACTGACCTCAGAAACTTCTGACATTCACCGATCCCTAATGCACTACATATACAGAGATGCTCATGGAAAATTCTACCACTTGCTCAAGGAAAAGAAAAACCTTAATTGGAGACAAGGAACTGGCTTTCTGCATCCAGAAATGATCTGACGTATAACTGTATTCACAAGTACAAAAATTAAGGTAATTCTTTCAAATGAAACAGGAGGGGTCTCTTGGCCCCCAAGATTGAAATGTGTCTGAACAATTGTCCTTATTCTTCACCATCACCTCCGCCTTGCTAGCACTGCTGCCTGGTATCTACTAGGCACCTCCCTGTGTAGGGTTCTAAGGTGAAGCAATCTAATTTTGTTATGCCAGTACTTCAACCGACATTTACAAACTTTTCAAATATTTTAATTTTATCTAAATGTTTTTCATCAGCATGTTCCTTTTTACAAGAATCCTTTATTGTTCCAAGACACAAATCATATCCCTTTGAATTCCAGATGAAAACATTTTAGGCCTATTTATGATTGTATTTCAATAGACATGTATACACATGTAAAGCAGCTTCAGTGTTATTTAAAAATACACTTCAATAGGTCTCATTGTGTTGATATTAGCAAGGCACTTAAGAAAATGCTTCCAGGTGGCAGGCACCTGCTCCGGCTTTGAAACACCAACCTCAAAACCTATAGTCAAGCACCAAAATGGGGAAGAGCAACAAACTATATATTTCAGCACCTAGCAGTTTTGGCAGCTCATTTGGAACTGGTTATTGCCAGCTGGGCATTTTGCCATTTCCTTGAGGCAAAATTAAAGTGGAAGATGCAAGGGTTTTATTGTAATTTTCCACCACATATTTATATCATTATGGGTTTTGTGCTGCTCTAGTCCCCACACAGTCTCACTGAATATCTTCTTATTATGTCACTGAAATTTGAAGCAAATATAGGATGATGCAGTGAAAACAAGTGGGCACTGTGTATAGTAAATGATTGCTGAAGATAACACTATGCCTATCGGAATGGGCTACATAATTTGCAGGCCCTGCGCAAGATGAAAATGCAGGGCCCTATGTTCAAAAGACAGGAGAAAAGTTCCATTAAAGGTACTAAAATATCAAGATTCCTCCTTTCTGCTGCAGTTTCTTCTCTCAACTTGCCAAGGCATTGTTTATTTACTAGTCCCTGCTGTGATCCCTCAGGCACAGGGTGATCTGCAAAGCAAGTGCTAGAAAACAGCCAGCTAGGCCCCCCACACACACACACAAACCGCCCCCTCTCCCCCATTAGGTATTGAGTCTCCCCTCCCCTTGCAGCTGCAGACCAATGCTCGTGCACTTCTAGGGGCAGAGAAGTCAAGTCAGGGATCTCCCTTCCCAAAGACACACCACCCCAACCCTTCCCCAGCAGTACTGAAAACCTCAGATACATCAGGCACCTACATTGGGGTAGGTGAGAAGTTCACCCCACTGAGACATCGTTGTGACTCTCCTAGATGGGGACAACTGCATCAGTGTCCAGGCCTGAAATGTTTCTGGGATCTTGCTCTAGAGCCCACCCTATCCCTGCCACGTATGAAAGCCAACAGCAGCTGTGGGACAGGAATGTGAAGGAAGAGGCCAGGTCTGTGGGGTTCTAGGGGGTGTGAGAATCAAGCAGTTGAAAGCAGAAGAGAACCTATCCCAGATCAGAGGCAGGCTCCATTATCTTGTCAGACTTACAAAACACAAATTCAAACATAAAACTAGGGATTTCTGTCACGGGCCCATGAAGCCAGCCTTGATTCATAAAAAACTCTAAGGTCTGTGGGCCTGTGCTTACTTCTGTAGCATATATACCATAAAATTGAACAAAGACATTAGCACGACTCCCGCACAAGGATGACACACAAATTTATTACACGTTCCCTATTTTTATTTTATAGAACTAAATACAAATATACACAAAACTGGGAAAACCTGAATAAAATGGGGAAAGGTGGATTGTGTCAATGTCAGTATCCTAGCTGAGATTATACCAGTCTTGCAAAATGTTACCATTGGGAGAAACCATGTAAACTATATAGAAGTTTCTCAATTATTTCTTACAACCATATATTGTCATTAGCTCAATTTTTAAAAGATGAGGCCTATTAAATGGACAAAAAACAACATACAAGCTATTATTACCAAAACTACCTATACCTATACAAAACATTAAATTGAATGTAACTTGAGTATGATATGATATAAAAGAACAATTCTTTAAATAACTAACTCCAATGCAAAATCTGTAGTCAGCATGTTAACCACATTGTACACTATCAAGAGGAATGTGTTCAGCTATATTTCTTATTAAAACTTCTCTTACCTACTTAAGATAAAATGAAAACACACAATCTAGAAACTATAAAAATACTCTAGCAACCAAAGTGGTCTATGCAAAAGCATGCCTTTATTCACAAAAGGGGGATAAATGTGTATTAAATAGCACAAAATCAACTTTAAATTGTTAAGTTACTGCACCCAGAAAGTTGGTTTGGGTACCATTTACAACTGAAAGTACATATTTGATGCTGGTACAGTTACTTAATTTTTATATACATAAGACAAAACATCTTGCCTGTCAAATGCTAAAAAAAAAAAAAAAAAAAAAAAAAAAACCCTAAAGTATAATAGGGAAAATCTGAATCTCAAGACTGAGTTCCCAAGGAACTGAGCCAAGTGAGAATTCTTTTTTGCTTTTGAAGACTGTGTATGTGAGCAAATCCCCAAAGCAGATCAATCTTGTCACAGTCCTGGGGGAAAGGATGTAGCCATGTCTATAGGGCCTCTGAGATAAATCCTGCTCAAAGGTCACCTAATTCTACTAGGACTGCATTAAGTAAAATAATAGAAGAGACTCACTCGACACCACAGAGCCGAACACATTGAAAATACTCTACAGACATTAGCAATTTATATCAACTATGGCAGTCTGTTCCCATTCTGACCTCTCAAGTGCTCAGCACCAACTCAATATAAATTATGCATCCCATTACTATTTCTTGCTCAGTCAGACAGCTTTCAGAGCCAAGATAAACCCACCTTTGGTTCAAGCCAGGACTTTACAGAGAGACCTGAAGAACTGATTACACAAAGAAAGAGGTTTGGGATCCAAATTAGTTTTGCCGCTGCTAACTCTGTACCTCTGGGTAAAACACTGAGCTGTTCATTAGTAAAATAGAATTTGAATTTCAAAGATAAATGAATATTCATTCACTTCGGGGAATTACATACTAAGGCATTCAAAAAAATTTTGTTGAATGGAAGACTGAATTAATGAATGGATATGTACAGATTTTTCTCCAACCTGGCTTTTTTCTTTTCACTAGCTAAATTCCCTTTCAGCTTTATTTCAGAGTTAAAATGCCGAAGTAGACGGGAAGGAAACACAAATAAAACAGCACTTTGCTCATGACCTCACTTGACTGTATCGTGCTGCACCCTGCATAATTAATCACTGTCAGCACCAGTCAGATGTGGATATGCCAGCAACTGCATGTCAGGGTTTGCCAGGTGTGGCAGATTACGGAGTCTTCATCAAGCCAAGCTCTGAGGCTGGGAGTCTAACAAAAAAGCACTTAAGAAGCCTCCCAAAGCAGGAGAGCAGCGTTGGCTGTCTATCAGTGTCTCCTTGCTCTTGGTGCCCTAGTTCTGCTCTGGCCTCTCAAGTTCCTGGATTCCTCAGCTCCTGACTGTGCCAGGGTACTAAGGAACTGGGCTTCTTCCTGTCCCATCGTGGGCCTTCAAGTCCAAAGCAGCTTACCTCTAATGTCTGCATGTGCCCTACCCTCAGTCTGCACACCTGACTTTGGTACACTTTCTCAAAAGCATATTCAAAGCCCTCCCCTCTTGGTGTAGGCTTGGATCCCAGGCTGGCTGGGTGCCCTCTTGGCGATTCCCGGCTGGCTCCATTGCTGGCACCAACACAAATACAGCTTTGTATCTACTTGCCACAAAAACCTTGACTCTGTTCTATTCCATCATTGATTCTTTAGCACTCAAAACTAAGTCAATTATATTTCATGAAATTTAATGAACTCTGTGCAAAAATATTAATGACTAAGCAAAATACAGGTTAAGCGCAAACCTGAATTGTGTCACTATATAAGCTGTGAAAAGGATGGCTTAATCCTTAAATAAACACCAGTCTAAAAGAAGATGACAAAAATGGGTAGTTGAACACAGAGGAACAATGCAGTGTTTTGTCTTGATTCCTAAAAACCAGTTATCTAAAATGTGTCATTCAAATCAGTGGCCATGCTAACTTCCCGGCTTTTCCTCCAAGCTCTATTTCAGAGGTTTCTTACCAGTTCTAAAGCTAAAAAGCTAGTAAACATGTGCGTCAAATGACCTTTTAATCATCAAAGAAAAATTACCACAGTCAACTGCACAGTCCTGTAACATTAAATAATTAATCATGACATGGCAAAACTACCATTAGAAGTATCTAAATTATTTAAGAAAAATCAAACATATGGTAATTAGCTATTTCTTTCCAATCCACTAGAACATCATAGTTAGCCTGAATACCATAGAGTCTCATGATTTATATCCTCCCAACATATTTTCACTTCTTCATTCTAGAAATTCAGTTTCAAAATGTCCCTAAGAGGGTAACTGTTATGAGCAAGAGGTTAGACATAACAATGAGAGGAAACTCCAAGTACATTATACAAGCCTTTGGCTCAAACGCAGATCTGAATTTGAAAAGAGAAAATGTGGAGAAATTTACTGATAACAACCTAACCATCAATTCAAGTTGTACTTAACTGGAAAGCCTGGAACTATTTACAGAACTATGCAATGGAACGTTCACTAATAATTCAACCTGATGCATCATGTAACAGTCACCCATCTGGAGAGTCTCCTTGTCTCAGGGTTCTTCCCAGACCATTAACAATGTTAAAAGTCTTAAGTGGACTCCCTGTCCACTGTCCACTTCTTGCTGTGCTTCTTATACAGCACAACTCCAGACTCCATTTTTATTTCCAGGTAAACTAAAGAAATGATAGAAGATCTTTTGTCTAGCAGTTTCAATGTGGTACCAGTGTTCTATGTATTAATAATACTCATTTCTCCACTAACTTCAAAAAAAATATTTCTACCTTCAATGTAGGTACAGGCAAAGAGAAGAATTTAATGAATGGAACACAGCCATGTCAGTATTCAATCAAAATTCCCCTTGGAAGCTTTTCATCAGCAGTTGATAAAATCAACACAGAGAGAGAGCCAGAGTCCCTGAGCTATCACCACAGCCTACTCAAAAAACCCAAAAAACAAAAAACTAACCATGTGCCACAATAGAACCACAGTGGTACGGAGTTGATTTTCATTCTTTAAAAAAAAAAAATATGGTTTGCTTTTGCTTACATCTCTTGTTATGAAACTTGTGAAACATAATGATAGAAAAATTGTTAGCCATAAACATATCTAAACAATTTAGAAAGTTATTCACTTTTTAAGTTCTTATCACTCACCGTCCAACATATGAACTACTTTTAATTATCTACTGTCTTTAATTGCTTAGGTGATTATTTTTTCTATTAAATATATGTCCTCAGCCATATCATTAATAATCCTTCATAAGTTTATAGGTACTCTGACTTTGCCTTGTGTTAAAAGGTCGGTTGGGGATTCTTCAGCTTTGCTAATGGTTTTATATTTCAGTAGAGTGTTAAAACTGTTGCTATGGCCTGAATGTTTGTGTCCTCCCCACCAAAAAAAAAAAAATTCCCGTTAAAACTCAAACCCCCAATATAAGAGATGGGGCCTTTGGGAGGTAATGAGGTCATGAGGGTGGAGCCTTTATGGTAGGATCAGTGCCCTTACAGGAGACACAAGAGGGCTTGCCCTTGTTTGCTCTCCTCATGCAACACAACATGATGGCCATCTGTAAACCAGGAAGGGGGCTCTCACCAGACACTGGCTCTGCTGCCACTTTGACTATAGACTTCCCAGCCACCAGAACAGTGAGACACAAACATCTGTTGTTTAGGCCACCCACTCCATGGTAATTTGCTATAGCAACCAGAAGTAAGACAGCTGTCATTCAGGATATTATGTACTCAACAAAGTAAATAATCAATTTCATGTACTGCTACGATTATTAAAAATGGTCTCCACATATTGAAATGCCCCCAAGGTCCTGGCAGTCCAAGAGATCATGCTTTCTCTGTTGCTACTTCCAGTATAAAATAAATATAAACTACCTGTGACTTACTAGGCTTCAGAAATTACTCAATTTAACCACATTTAGGTAAAAAAAAAAAACATTTTAAGGACTGAAGGCTTCCAACTAATTTTTCTAAGCATACATTTACGTACTCTACTTTTACACTAGCTGGGTTTGTGAGTGTGTATATATGTATATGCATTTTAAGAATGAACCTATATCTCTTTGAATAAACTTTGAAAAGGTGTTTTCTTTCAAGTTTACATACCTGACATCTGTGAAATTTTACACTAAATGTTCTTCACAAGAACTATACAGTAGGACTCCTTTTAAATCAAAATGAAGCCATGCTATGAGAAAGGAAAAGTCCAGAGGTGAATAAATCTAGTCAGCCTTCTAATAATGCCTTCTCTCAGAGAAGCCAAAGCACAAAGATGAGTGGCAAACTGATGCATTTCAACTTCTGAAAAGATCAGGTTACAAAAATGCTCTATAGTTCTTCAGTTAGGGTCCCCTAACTTCTCTAAGGAGGAGCTCTCTTCTCTAAAGAGAGAGCTATGGGCTGTTTCCCACTAACATACCAGGAGGAAAAAGGATTAGTGTAGTAAGATTGCAGGAGGGGAGATACTCATTTTTATTTAACAAACATATACCATTTACTATATTCTAGGCACTATTTTAAGTGTTTTACAAACACAAGTCAATAAATCCTCATAACAA